GCTGTAAGCGACTCGGGCGGGTCCCGTCGAAGAACGATACGATCTATGGCCTGCGAGAACAGACTTCTGGTGTTCACAAATAGTATTGATGGAAATATCTTGTACATTGATGAAAGTATCCCATGAGAAATGCGTTCTTGATGAGCGCCGTTGACACTGGGCACGTTTCGGAGGACTCAATGGATGACCAGGACGGCGCTCCCTTCCTAGTAGTGTTGTATGGTGGGGTAATTGCAGCACCATCGGCGCCAACCGAAGAGTTTACGGGTACGCTGCTGATTAGAGTGTGCTACACAGGTGTCAGTACGACCGCAATACAAAGGAGGGCCCAGTAACACGCACCAAATTCCTTGATCTGTAGTACGACTTCTTCTCTGAGAGCCCATACTTTGCTTCACACCTCCCACGGGATTTGTGACTTCACCAGACTCTGCACGAGCTTCACAGTCGAACATGTATCAAGGCAAGACGATGGTGTCCGCATATCCTGCGCCGGTGAGCGCGGGAGGCGGCCGGAAACCCGCCGGCCCCAAGCGGACGTGCCAACGAAACGGGGGACCCATAAGGACCCACAAACACACAGATGGCCGCAACACGGCAAAAGTCACTTAAACACTAGCAATAAGCTGTTGTACGTCTATTTACTCTCATACAAGGCCATTCATAGTAGTACACATCGAGTTCGATACCAAATGACGAATGGGCTTCACGGCACGTGCAACATCTTGCGCAGGAGGTTACCCGTACGCTCGATGTTACGACGCGAAGCTAGTAGGTAATCATCAGCCAAAAGAACCATAAAACTTGTCGAGCACAGTGTACGCACATTTGATGGCAAGATCAGATGTCACGATGATATCCTTCAACTCGGCGGAGGCAGCTTTCTCCCAGTCTGATGATATTGTCTGTCAGTAAAGGCAGTCGCAGCTCTGCACAGGCAAGCCTCGCACCGTCGACATCTAGCTTTGAGGGGCTTTTCAAGAGATCGGCGACGTGTGAGTATTCTGACGGATCCTGGTCGAGAAGGGAGCGTTGTATGATGCTGCGAATGACATGGTCGCGGTGGGTTGCAGCCGCATCCAGAGGCTTTCGGACGGTACGAATATGCCCAGCATCTGCGCGCCTAGTTACTGAAGAAGGTCAAGGTCAAGGTCGGATACAACTTCAAGCGGGACGAGGGAGGAAGGTGCGCACGTGCGACGGCTCCTTGTGAGGGATATACCGCGCAGACGGCGATAAGGAGGACAGACAAGTGCTTGAAGGCGATGAGGACCATGGCGAAGAGAAGATACTGTTGGGAAACCGCGCACCTACGTATCCTATATGAATGTACTGGCACAAAGGCGGACTGAGTATAAAGGCCCTTCTGGCCTACTTTTGAGGCCTCTTGGCAGTAGGTTGTTAAGTATGGCATTCTAACACATGCCATACAGGTATTGTATTCGCATCATCGAGTACATTGTCCACAAAGACGACGAAATTGAAGACGCTGATGGATGGTCTTTCAGACTAATCACCTCACGCGAGTGAACGACCAGCTGGCCCGGGCTGCTTGTGAAAGAGAGTATAGTATCATCTGAGCCTTGGAAGTGCTCGTAAGCAAGAAAAGGAGCGAAACCATGAGGGCTTAGATGGTGGTCGAGTTCAGGAAGCGAAGACACGGTCGAGCGTGATCCAAACGCGGTTCGCATCAAGACGCGTCGGCGCGCGAAATGAAGTGTCCACCAAACCTTGTCCTAGACTGTGAGGATGGCCGACGCTGTATTTAAGGATGTGCCGGAGATTTTCGAGGTACGCCTCTGAGGACTTTACACGACCACGAGAGGTACTGAAGAGCGCAGATAGAGCTGGGTGAAGCGCTGCTTGCGCGAACGGAAGTGCTCAGTTCGTTGCCATCCCACTTTCCGCGCTCGCCACAGCGCTAACAACACCCAATGTACGCGCAGACACCTTCCGGGAACTTGGCCCGCCAGACTTGTGTCACGTTGTGAAAGGGACGCGAGGACAAAGCGATGTTCGTCCCCCTTCCTGTCAATGATATTCGCTGTCTCACTGTCAACCTGGTCTCTGTACGCACAGGTCGGCTCCTATCACTATGTCACTGGCGTGGATGCATCTTCCTCTGCATCCCTTGCCGCCTACATCAACAGCTTAATGTTCAGGATTGAGGAAGCACAGGGATGGATATCCAAAGGACCGACATGGAAACTGAAGTCGGGATCGTACTGGTGCGCAACACACCGGCGACTATATAATACACGACTCACGGGTGTCATATATTGTAGCTGTTTCAATGCTTTCTCGCGTGTGGATGTGCGCGTTGACGTCAAGATACCCGGCGGTGTTATCGCCTACGCATTGGACCTTCGAGGAGACCGGTAAGTGCTTATGATTGTCCACATATCCCAATCCTGGTTTTGCTACTACACGCTTCTCTGTCGCGTCCCAACTCTGCCGATTATCCAACGGCAATGAGGTTGACTATTTCTGGCAACCCAACTGTCCTCTTCGCGCAGTTGCGCTGCGGATCCCGACGTGTCGCGTTCCCAGACGCGTCGGTAGACGCGCTCGCTTCCGTATCCGTTGTCTCGGTTCCCCGATCTGGACTGTGGCGTTGATTCCATCCATCCACAGACACGAAGCCACTCCCGAACTCTGGCTAGAGACATACCTCTCAGCGATTCTGCGCGCCATCCTGTACTCGTCCGACGAAACCTACGCGCTCGAAGCATGGCGCAGGTTAACGCCCGTACCCACGCCTGACGCCGAACTCCGCTTCATCCAGGCGGCAGAACAACTCTTCGCAAAAGGCTGGCAAGTCGGCAGCGACCCGGAGATCCAGGTCGCGACCCTCACCGCCAACCATCTCACTGCCGGCCTAATGCGCTACTTCGGCGACGCTGGTCGAATGGACCGCGCTGCGAACTTATTCGAGCGTCTAGCTGTCCGTGAACCGGAAGTCGCACCCTTGCTCGCACGGAGCTATATTGGCATGCGTGCGTTTTCCGCTCCGCCATCCCTGATCATCCTGCTCATAATCATGCAGATGAGGAGGTGAAAGCAGTTCAGATCCTCGGCCAAGCCATCCGCCAGTCCCCTCAGCCCACGTACACGCTTCTTCATGCCCAAGCCGACTTCCTCCTCTCAAAACAACGACCAGATCTTGCCATTCAGCTCGCACACGCAGCCGTGAACGCCGCGCCGTCCGAATTCGTCACATGGGAAAAGCTCACCTCTCTTCATATCGAGCTTGGCAACTACGCCGGCGCCCTGTTGACTCTGAACTCATGCCCTATGTTCACCTTCAACGGACGAGACGCGCACAAAATCTTGACCGCATCACGTCTACACTTGCCTATTCCGAAGTTCCTCGCGGACGTACTTCCCGAACGTGAGCGGACGGAGGACGATGAAGCGGATCCCGCACTCGTGCGTTTACCTGCACCTGGATTGCGAGGGACATGGTCTCGCGCGTACAGGCTACTCGCAAGGCTCGTGAGCATGGTCGGATGGGACGAGCTTTTGCGAACGCGTAGCGCCGTGTTCGTCATGGAGGAGGAATACAGGATGCAGAAGGCACAGGCAGAAATTTCTGCATCGTTGCCAAACACGCCTGCTCCCAATGGCAATGCTGCGCCGGCGGACAACGCCAGCACGCGTGGCTTGCATTCGGCGCGGAGCAGTGCAGGTTTGACAGATGCACCTGCGGGCGAGAATGGCGTGGCAGGTGGAGAGCACGGTGAAGAGGGTAGCGCGGCACCGGACGGTTTACCCACAATCCGCATCAGTACCGAGAGCGCGCGCGAGGAGAAGGCTGCGCTTGCTAGGGCTGAGGCGGAAAGGAAGCGCGCTGCTGAAGAGAGCGTTGCGCAACCGCCGCCCACGTACGATGAGGTCAGCAAAGAGGAGGGAGAGGCAGACGCCGATGGGGAGGTCAAGGAGGAAAAGAAGGAGAAAGAGCCCTTTAGCTTCAGCAACAAGCGGCTATGCGAGCGTTGGTTGGATAACCTATTCATGGTCTTATACGAAGTGCGTGTGCATCAGTCTGGGCAATAGCCTGGTATGCTAACATAATCTCAGGATTTGCGCGTATGGACGATCTTCAGAGCCGAGATCGCGCACTTCAAGACACAACACGTCGCATACCGCAAGACCGGCGCGGAATGGGAAATCCTCGGCGAACTCGGCCTGCGCCTACACCATCGCGAAGAGGCGAAAGAGTGCTTCCAACGCTCTCTGGATTCCAGCCGGTACGTCTTTTTTCCATCTATTCCACAGCCCTCGTTTCTCTAGAGGGCTTCACATCCTGTGCCCTGTACTGAGAGGAGTAAAGAGGGAAGCCTGACGATAAAATCAGGTGGAGCCCGAAACCGTGGGTCAGGCTATTGGAGATGTACGCGGAGGAGGGAGACTTGATGCGTACGCTGCAGAGCGGGATCCGGGTCGCGGCGTACGCAAACGCAGAGGGCGCCGAGGTTGTGGTACGTACCCATCTCTTGGTTGAGGATGTCAGTCGGCGCTAACTGCACTGCCACAGTTTCCGACATCGGTCGCGCGTGCGTTCTTCAAGTTGCAAGAGACGCACGGGCTCGAGAAGATCTGGAACACGTTGAGGAGTATGGGTCTGCCCGATCCAGTGCTCACGCTCATGCGGGGGTACTTGGACTGGGGCAAGGCGTTCAAGGTGGAAGGCTACGACTTCTAGGCTTGCTGTTTATTCTTGCAGTTGATATTGGCTGTTAATTCGCGGAATGCTTTGTGCAATGGATGCTGTTGGTCTTCGATCGCGTGACGGGAATCAGACGCATTTTGCATGGAGACTCCATGTATTCATCAATGTAAGGAGTTGGTACAGTATATGTCATCAAAGTCGTGAGGTTTGTTAAGAGTCTGCACAGCGACTGCATTTGAGAGAACGATAAACGCATAGAACAATTATAGTAGGGGAAGCAAGAGACGGATTGCGAGCAATATTCAATGAGACAGGTCAGTCAGCATGAACCTTGCAATGCGCGCTCCAGGCGGGACATAAGAGGATCCGAAGGTCGTTTACCGCAACTTGAGAACAACCTGGTCAGCAAAGACATCGACGAGAAACAGTTCCTTCAAGGCTCACCGGTACCCTGTCCTTCTTGCAACTGCCACGCTTCATCCAGCGCGTCGTCAAGCTCGACGGGCACCAATGCAGCACGTAGTCGCGCCCCGCCGGGTGCGGCGCGAGCGTGCGAGATCTGACCCACTGCTCGGCCCAGTAGTACCAAAGCTGGTGCGCAAACTGGCTGGCGGTCGGGTGATGTACATAGGTGTCGCCGTTCATAGGCGGCGAAGGGAACGCATCAAGCGGTGGGGCGTTGTTCAAGGCGACAGGGCCCTTCGAGAAGAAACAGTAGATGCGCTCAGCGCGGGGCATCTTGTATGTGACCTCCTTGATGTCGGGCCGAGCTATCAAAGGGGTCAGGCGTGATCATTTTCATGGCAAGCCGTCATGCGAGTACGCACGGTCAGGTTGAGGTGTTGGGTAGAACGTAAAACCAGTATGAGTAGAAGCGGCAGCGGCCTGGAACGTGAATGAGGGATAACCGGGGGCGGGAGCTGCGGTGGCCGGAATGTTATAAGCCCGCTGGGCGGGTGTTGTAGAGACAGAGGGGGCGGGATGCGACAAGGCATCATTCCAGGAGGCGGCGTAGCTGGGAGGAGGGGGCGAGTATGGGGGAAGCGGGGTGGTAGAGCGGGTTGGGCTGGTGGCCGCGGTGGCCGCAGATGTGGCTGGAGAAGAGAGCGCATCGAGGACATCCTAGGAACCGGTATCAGGACTCAACTTCTGAGAAATGGAATGCCACTACTCGCCTCGGGGAGGATTAGTTCAAAGCGGTCATTCGTTAGGCGCCTCGCGTCCAGCACGAGCCACCTGCCTGAAGACGTTCTGACCTGGATAGTGGCTGGGTTCGTCGGAGGCGCCCTGTGAGTGCGCAATACCATGAGTCCAGAAGGAAAATGAAGATGGTGGTTGAGTTAAATGGGGTGGTCGACCTCAAGCGGAGAGCCAAAATAGTTTAAGTACTTGGCACGAGAACAAAGGGAGCTGAGTTAAAGATGCCGGGACACGCGTTCGCTAGTCTGACTCGGGTGTGGCGTGATGAGGACTAATGTATAAGAAGCGCAGACAAAGGAGAAGCCACCTAGCCACAGCAGGCTTTACCCACAGGGCCTCCGGTCCCCTATGCAGGTAACCATCGGCTGTCCTGGTCCATAAGAACTAGATGGGCATGGTAAAGGAGTGGCTGCATTCAAAATCTGACTCATCTTGAGATCAAGGTGTGGTTGTAAAACGCCCCAGAACGACGCACCAAAGCCAAGGTACCGTATCGCACGCATCATCTGTCGATTTGGTCACCTGAGCCGCGGGAGATATCAGCAAGGTTTCGTCATGAACAATCACATCCACTGAAAATACGAATCTCTATTTGAACACAGGTCCTACACTCGAACTCATACTCGGTATGACGCGGGAACAATGATCTGAGTACTAGACATCACGGATACAGTCTGGCAATGACATGTCCATTGTGGGTACTTGAGCATGCACTCAGTATAGGCTATCACGACGCATCAGTGGGAAGCGAGTTGTAAGGGCACATAATCTAACCTTCCATACCACTCAAGCCAGCGCTTTAATGGCTCGAGATCCTCCTCGAGAGAGACGTCCATGAAGCGCCCGTCGATGTACCCTTGTTGACCTTCGGCGGCCATCTTCACTACTAGAAGGTCACCCCTCCAGTAATTTTGCTGCACTGATGGCCCTAGTAGATTTGCAACACATTTATTATGTGGAGAACCGTCATTGAGAAAGTTATCGCGCAAGAATATGCGCATGCAATGCTTCAACATAGGCCCTTCGTGCCCGTTTGCAGTTGAGATGAACTTCTGATCGTACGAGCCGTCGCCAATGTATAGCTGGAGCTTTGGAATGTATGCTACATCGCGGCCGTCGTCGGCTTCAGGCTCGCCTGGGACGGCGAATGACCTCCTGGCGAGTTGGACTGCAATAACTTCAGGGGCTGATCGCTTAGCTGGGAGTAATATGCCCTTGACTGTGAGCGATCCCGGAGGTACGCAAAGTTTACGGTGCTCATTCCAGTCCTATGCAAGTTGTCAGCAAACCCATTCGGATATATCATTGTACAGTGTGAAGGGCTAACCTTCCGCTGATGCTCAGCTCGACAGTAGTAAACTGTCTTGCAAGCTGAGCATCGTTCTTCTGCAGATTCGCCGCATAGCTGGCAATCTAGATGGTTGATGAGATGAGTAGCCAAACCTAGCACACAGAGTTCTATGAGAAGTGCATACTGGGCATGTTGAGCTAAGTAACAAGATGATGGTTCGGGTGAGAGTTGCCACGAACAAGGTTTGCCATTCGATGACGATGCGACGTAGGTCCGTATAGGTCCCGAGGGCTCGTACTTCTCACGCTCTATTCTGGAGATCCGATGTCTGGACTCCGACCCACGTCCGACGCTCACTTGACTCCTACTTTGATCATGTCCCTGTCTCCGCCTATCCGTCGACTGTCTACTGCGAGCCAACGTGAAGAGGCCTTGATATACCAGTACGAGGCCGAGGAGGAACGGATAATCAATGTACTTTCACGCAAACTTGAACAGTTGCAGGACGAGAAGGGTATGTGCTTCTCATGCTCAGGAGCATCGAGAACAAAGCTAATTTCTTACTTCGTAGCTGAGTTGGAAAATGCACTGGAGGCCGAGAATGAACGCAATGTGAACCGTCTCTCCAGACAGCTCTCTGCCCTACGTGCTTCGTCGAATGCCACACCGTCCTCTACTTCGTCTGCCACCTCGTCTTCGAACACCGCAAGCTCACATGCGGCCGATCCTCTCCGCCCAGATAGTGCCGCTTTGCTGGAGAGTATGCGGCGAGAGAACGAGGCACTGCGATCGAAAGTTGTCGATCTCGAGCGCGAGTTCATTCGCGTCTCGCGCCTGAATGAGATTTATCGTGAAGAGCTCATCCAACATCGCACCCGCGCCGGCTTACCCGTTGATGCACTCATTGGACACTCGTCCTCATCCCCATCGGCACAGCCAGAACACCCACGGCATCCGCGCGCGCATGCACGGATAGCGACTGCGAATGGTGGCTCTGGACTCGACATCGGTGCGCCGCATGTAGAACCCAGCCCGATCCGTGCGGCACTAGCGGCAAGCGCAGTACCGATTCCTCGTCCACCGTCTCAGATACATCGGCCCAGTCAACAACTGAGCACAGAATCTACACCGTCCTCGTCCTCAGCTGCGTCCACGGATCTCTCGCCCGTACTATCGCCTTCGGCGCTACCTGCATCCTACGTCACGAACCAGACATCCCTGCCGTCATCCGGCTCACCTGTTGCGCCGATACCGCGTACGGTGCCGAACTTGCCTTTGACATATCCCTCTGTCCCACCGCCGAGCCTTGCAAGCAGTCTGGGTAGTCCAGTTGCGAGCTTCCATGCGCAGTTAGAAGACCGCGACGAGCGCTTTGGCGGTCGATGGGCAAGAGAAGGACGAAGAAGCGGTAGCCAGAGCGAGAGCAGAGAGCGCGGATACCGCATCGCAGAGACGGGCAGCTTGCGGAG